AGGGCTTCAGAGGGTGAAATGAGAGTGGGTACTGTTGTTGAATTTGGCGAGAACGTAGTAGACTACTCGCGCGGCCGAATTGAAGCCGGGCACCTTATTTCGGAAGTGATTGACGAATGGATACTACGCCTATTCCGGACCTACTTAATAGGTCATATATCCGTTACAGATAGAGCTTCAACATGATAAGAAACATGCATATTTACAACCTCACTGTTGCCTTATTGGAGCTAACACAGCTGACAGGGAGGTCTATTCTCTACCTATCCATTGAAATTATTATTGCCACTGTGAAGAATAACTCTCTGGAGTTTTTCATGAAATGCATGATACTTGTTATCAATAACCTCCTGTGGAAACTCTTCCCAAGTACAAATTAAAATATCTTTTGCCCCATTTACAGCATGCTGGCTTGCTCCAACAAAGTTCCATGTAGAAATCTTGTCTTTTTGGTAGCTCCAGATCAATTCAATCTGATTTAAATCTGGAGACTTTGAGGGCCAATTGAGAGTTACAATGCTGTACAACTTTCTCTCCTCCTCATTAACCCTTCATGCTGTTTGATGGCTAGAGGCATTATCTTCAATGAGATAAAGGTGTGGAACTCCTAGCCACTCTCTCACAGATGCCATCCAGGGGTAGAGCTTTGGACATAATACTCTCTCCCGGTAAGAGACCCAATTTATTCCACCTTTGCTTGTGAAATCTAAGGGAGGTTCATGGAACATCTGCTCTGGGCATCTCCATTTCCGCTTATACCATCTAGTTCGACCTTCAACTAGGTTAAGTTTGTCAATATGGTTGTTGAAAGAAGTAAGCTCGTCGTGCTGCCATGTACCGGGAAGCTGGACTTATTGTTGATTTACCTCCTGTCGTTCGAGCTGTATTCGATTGTCTTCATTGACAATTTGTTTGTAGCTTTCCTTTTCTTCTGCTGTATCAGGTTCCCAAATATGGTATGGACCTTTCATGCCTAGGATAATGGCACCCCAGAACATAATGCGGATTGGCTGCTTTTCATTATTTTTATCATGAATAGCATATTTGTTTACATCAACTCCACGGTATCAGGAAATATTTCGCTGCCATCGGGATTTGTTGAACTCTACCCACATTTCATCAGTGAAAACAATCTTATTAACTGCAATCTGTAGGGCCATATGAGTGAAGGTCAAGCGGGCTTCCATGTGAGTTGCGGTGAGACTTGGCTTGTGAGCAGGCTTTCGGCGGAAGATATTGTGCTGACTATGAAAGATTTGCTCCAAGGTAGAATGGGCAGCAGGTATTCCTAACTCACAGGCAATCTCTGGGAATGTCCACTGCTAACGCTCTTCATCTTTCTGGCTCAGGTCTTGAAGAGCGATCGATTCTGGTGAACCCATAGGATATTTCTTGGAGTTTCTACCACCATAACAGCTTGACAAACAGCCCAATACATCATTGAAGTCCTTTGGATCAGCTGCCTGAGCCTCTTCTAAAGTTAGTAATCTTTCGGATCTCTTTGTATTTTGCAAACAGTTTTCACACCTTTGCTTTTCTTAAAATGTCCTCAACTGTTCACTTTTTGAGTCCGAGTTTGGTGGCAACTTTGCGTGGCGACATGTTTGCATGCCAATTTAGTGTAAGTATCGCAGCTCTTTTGAGCAGAGGAATCCTTGGAGTACTTCCAGCTCCCCCAAAGTGTGTGGCCGGCATACTAAAGAGAATAGATTCAAAGATGTTTGAAGGACTGCTGCAAACACTCGAAGTACCCAACAGTATTATCTGTACTTATGCAGTGCAGAGCCAGCTACTTTACATGGTATATCAGAATTACATCGCAGATCTTGGCACTCCGCTACCTGCTTCCTATTTGTTCGTCAATCACTTCCGAAATAAGGTGCCCGGCTTCAACTCGGCCGCGCGAGTACGGAGTGCAGAGTTGAGTACGGCAATGAAGGTGGGAAGGAGGAAAGGGGGGGGTTTTTTTTTTTTTCCGGCATTAGCGTGATCTAATGTGTACTAACGTATCATACACAGACCTAAAAAAAAAAAAACCCCTATCTACACGAGTGATAGCCTATGACTTCATCTTAACTTTAATTATTGGGGGGGCATATAAACTGAAGGGGGCACGAGTGGATAACGAGGGAAGCACCTCGATCGAGGCACGATCGGACAGTTTGTGGATCGGTGGCACGTCTGCCTGGTGCGATTGGCAAAATCATTGCTCTTTATAAAATTCTAAACTGTGAATATTGGCATCGTATGCTCTCACTCCGGACCTAACAAAACATGAATTATCGCTATCACTGACGGGCCGCGCAGAAGATGTCATGAGGGTGGGTAAGGGAGGAGTATTTTTTTTTAAAAAAAAACTAATAGTACATACGAAGCTGACTTGGACATAATGTTTTCGATACAAGGGTAGTCAACTTGACAACAGGAATAATAAATTTAGAGGTTTAACGTCACACTACTCGCTCGCTCCCCCGCTGACAACATCTGGCACTAAACAGAGCTTACACACCACATCCCCCCCCCCCTTTGCCACCGCGGGCGCGCCCATGCCATTTTGGTTCACTTTAGCCCAGGACTTATAGAATCTCGTCCTCATCGGCCTCTTCTACCCTCGCCGCAAAGACGGGTTGGGTGCGTGCGCGACTCCGGGGAGGATGGTAGCTAGGTTGGTCACGATCTGCTTCCCGGGTAGAACGATTCTCGTGGTTGTGGTAACTCTCAGGTTCTTCATCCGATTCGTATTCCAGAACCATCCCTTCCTGAAAATACTCCTTCCTGCCCTTCTTGTTACCGGCATATCTTTCCCCGAACCCCTGGGTGATGGTGGATGTGCGTTTTCCCAGGATTGAAGTGAACGGGGGTTTGCTTGTTGCCACGTTGGTAGGGGTAGTAGTTGATGCGGTGAAGGTGCATTTGGCCGGGGGAATTGCTGATTGGGCCTTTGTCTTGTCCAGATCCCCATCGATGGTTTCGGAATCGCTGTCAGACTCGTATTCAAGTATCATGCCTTCGGAGAAGTACTCTCTTCTAGGCTTTTTGGTTGTAGCACTCTTCACCATGGTGTTCTCGTTTGTGCGTTTCCTAAAGGAAGTAGCTTCACCATGAGGGCCCATTGGAGCTCCTTTAGCCAGTCCTTTTCTGGAGGATTTCACGGGTGGAGGACGGCTCTTTGGGGGGGCAGGGGGTGCCTTGGGGCACAGGGGCTTTCTATTGAGCGCTCCACGCCGTCCTTGTTTTGGTGTCTTGCTGTGTGGGCTATCGCAATCTATTTTCGGTTTCTTGTGCGTGGGGACGATAGCGGCATCCTGTCCTTGGGCACGTTTCATGCGCGGAGGGATCTGGGGGAGAGACCTTGGATCTCCTGGATTGGGGTTCCCAAGCCTGGTAGGGATGATAAGAGTAATATGACTGGGAGGAGGAGAACCCGATCCTACTGCTTGTGCCGCCATGCCTACGGAGTAGGTGCGGGGGGTCATCGCGGGGGGAACTCTGTTATTACCTCTAGCGGAGGCGGTAGCTCTAGCTGTGGCTTTCGAATTGGAGTGTTGACCTGCTGGGCGTGATTTTTTGCGCACTGGTGTATGCCTTGGTTCAATCCCAGTAGGATCTTCGGCAGTGCCGATCTCGTCATCCGCATCTAGATTAAGGGGGTGTTTGCTAGCATAGCACTCCGCCTCATTCTCTACAGCAATCTTCCCACTGCGCAGCTCACTATCGAGTAAGTTTTCCGTCAAGGCAATATCTAAGTCATCCATCCGTTAGCTGGTCATAGCACCAAAAAAAAAACCCCCACTCCTATGGTAGCCATACACCACATCAACTTATCGGATGAACCCTGTCTCATTGCCCTAGTTTTCAAGAACAGAAGTCTGCGGCGGAGCTTTGAGATATGATTTTCGAGAACTCTGTCACCAACGAACTTGGAATGTCCCAGATTGCCCGGAAGGGCCTCAGGCATGTTAGCGCCTAGAGGATCAATCTTGGATCCCCCACTCGAGGGGGGTCGGATATTGGTGTTATCTTGGGTGCCGGACAAACTAGCGGACGCTGCGGGGCTGCTGAAGAGTCTGGAGGGAGGGGGTAAAGATGAAGGGGAAGAAAGAGGGGGATAGGGATAGCTGGAATTGGTAGAGGGCGCAAAGTAACCAGATCTTGAATAACCAGACCATGTAGGAGCATGATAAGCGCAGGGCATTGAAAACTCGGCGGGCAGATCACGGCCTAGAAACCCGGAACCAGAATATTTGGCATTAGAGCAGGGCGTAAAGTTAGATTTTCCGCTACGCCTGGGAAGAGAAGAAGTGGGAGTCTTGCGGCATGTGATAGGCCTAGACGGCCCATAACTGCCATAAGAATAAGAGGGCGGGGTAGAATACCCGGCAAACTCACTATTACCATCTAACTCAGCCTCCTCTGCGCCGCCAAAGATAGGAGAAGGAGATCTAGGAGCCGAAGAAGCGCAAAATCCATTACCTGGACGACTGGCCGAAGAAGAGGAGTCTGCAGACAGGTCTGGATAGTAAGCGCCGGGGATACACGCTACCCCCAGGGGTTCAGAAGCGTTGGGACAACCAACTACGATTTAGTAGGCCATTGGAGTCAGCAAGCCTCTTTAAAGCAGTGGAGGCTAGAGGAATTTAATCACGTTACATACCAGATGAAAACTCGCCGTTGCTGGCACTGAGGTCTATATCCATGTCCTCGTGACAGAGAGTAGCAGTAGTACTAGCAGCATGAGGAAAGAATTGAGAAGTAATTCCTTCCCAGAGGGAATTCAATATGAAATGGAAGAACATAAAATGTTTTTGATGGTGAAAAGAGGATGTGATAGCGAGGTGGTAACGAAGCTTGATGGAGGATAGATGGGGAGGAAGGAGGGGATGAGGGAGAAGAAGAGGGAAAAAATCTTACCCAAATATTCCTTAGAGATCTCGCGCCGAGGACTTGAGGTTAGTAGGGCATTGGGAGGGACTTACAGGATTTATCACTAGTTTTGTTCCGGGCAGCTGGGAGGGTAAAGGGCTCTTGGTAGGTCAGACCGGGCAGTTCTCGCAGAACATGATTCCCCAAGTAGTGACATAGTATGATAGGTGTGATGATCCTCTGGTACGATACCCCTAGGACCATCTGAGCTACAAAGAAGCTCAAAGCTCGTGTATCCGATTCTTGTGTTAATTGAAAGTAATTCTGGTATTCACAACACGACACCATCTCCTAGTTGTTCACAGAAAATCACTCGCCAGCAGCAAAGATTCGACTGGACTCAAACCAGCGTACGGATTCCCGCGGGAATAACGAATAGTCTTGAGCTATTTGATGATACAGCTCCTCCAAGGGTTTCCTTCTTCTTCCGCAAACGTCCTGCATCGAAGCAAAAAACTAATTCTAGAAACAGGAATGAGAGAGCCCACAGCACTCCAATATATTGTCGTGGCCAGCTAGCTAGGTTTAATAAGCTAAACCAAATTTGAGTTCAATGATTCCACCTCTACTGACTTTTCTCTCGAAACCTTAGGTATCCGGTGGGATACTCTAATTACTTAACTGTTATTTGTTCTGGTGGGGCTAGCGGGGAGGCTTACAACGGCTGGGCCGATACTAATCAAGAAACTACCTCTTTAAAAGATTACCTCATGATAAAATATTTTGAAGAGTACGGTACAGCGTTTGTTTTTTATATTGCAAGTTAAGAACCGGGTATTAAGTTACTTGCTATAAAACTATCCAGCCGACCAACCCACCGAGCCGCTAGCAAACCGACCAATTAACCATCCATCCGCCCACCAACCATTTGAAAACAAATAGATCATGACAGGTACCAATCGTAGCAAAAAAATAAAAAATGAAGGAATGCAACATTGCTATGAAGTCCCAAGCCCACCGACACCACATCACAGATAGCTATAGCATATGGCCAGGTATTATTGTTGCCATAATATCCTGGAGACGATCTAGTGCGAACGGGAAGGAGGAGGTGTAATTTTGAGGAAGCGATAAGAAATAAGGATGGGAAGAGTAGAGAGAAGTGAGGTGAGAAATTAGAAGAAAAAGGAATGAAAGTAAATTACCAACTGACAACCGTTCTGAGTGTCGGAAAAAAAAACAAATTTAGAGCCAAGGGTAGCTACCCGTAGAGTGATACCGTAGATGGGGGAGCTAGGGATAAGTGCGCATCGCTCTAAAGCTTGGATGTCTTAGCAAGTACCGAGAAAAATAGCTTTAGAAATAGCAACCACGGAGGGCTCTCTCACCAAGAACGTTCTTTACCAACTTCTCAAGCTGTCAACTTTATTCGGGGCCCCATCCTTAAATGCACATGGATCGTCCGCATACACTACCTCCGCTCCATTGAACCCCTCGTACTCATTGTTTCTGATTGCCTCCATAAGCGTAGTGGCATAGATGATCGAAGCGCATTCCACATAGGCAACTATTCCCAGACCGCCATTATGCTTTCTTCTTGTCTTCTCCTTCTTCCCTTTGACGGATATCACCTCATTATACCCATCTTTGGGCCCGTTCGCGCAAAAAGCTGCCTTCAGCTCTACATTGCTCCTATCGCTAGGGCACTGGTAAACCTTGATCATTCGAGAAGCGGAGCTCGCGATGAGGTCACCGATAAGAAGCTTACTAAGAGGTTCGATTGCGTCCTCAGCCCAGCTCACCTCGACGTTGAAACGGCGATCACACTCCTTAGCATCAGGATTTTTATTAAAGAACTCCCAAAACACTTGCGCATCGGCAGGGTGAATAAAAGCGAAGGTAATCGAGTGAGACTCCGGAAAGCTCTTGACATACTCCAGCGGTCCACCACGTACTTTATTCAATAAATACTCGGGACCCGGTGGGTCCTTGGAATATCTGTCTGGAATGACACTGATGGTCAAAACTCTCTTGAATTTCCTTGAATTATAGACCATAATGCTCTTTTTCTTAGCATCATCGTAGACCTCCAGAATACTCCTAGGTTGCTTTACCACCGGAACGTCTTCTACAGGGGCTTCTGGTTCAGCCTTCGGTTCAATCCTCCTCGGTGCTCTACTATTAAAGTCCGAAACCACTGGGGTAATGTCGGTCTCTTCAATGAGCCTTTCGACTTCTTCGGCATCCATTCCAGTTCCTTCCTGGGGAGGAAAATCACCAAGGTATCCTTCGGCACCTTCTCCGAACAGATCATCTGGTCCTGCTTCAGAATTATGAATTGACTGCCCTTTGGCAGTAGGTTCTGCTGGAGGGGACACCTTTTTGTGTGACTTTGGAGATTTTACTTTTGGAAGAAATAGCGGCGACCTGGCGCCCCGAAGCCGAAGGTTGCTGTGACCCTCGCTTGAATTGGTATCCGAATCGCTGACACTGCCGTAATCAACCAAGGAACCATGGACATCATCATAGCCCGTAGAATCTAATCTCTCGCCACGAGAAGCTGCCCGATGAAGTTCTGAACCCACCCTACCATCTCTCTTCCTTCTCTTCCTGGCTTTCGCACCATCCGGTGATGAGGAGCTGGCACGCCTCCTCGGTTTCGGATCTCCCACAGTCTTTCCCTTCACGCCAGATGATTCTCTGTTCCTAGAGAACCTCGAATCTTTGCGCTGAGAGGCCTCCTTCGTAGCCTTGCCGCTTTGTGATGACTCCAAGGGGGTTACGGGCTTGGCTTTGACCAAAGATCTCGTGACCTCCGTAGGCATAGGGGGCCTTACGTATGTTGCCCCTACAACAATAGACTTTGACATACTAGCAGGGCCGGAAATCCCTCCGTACCCCGAAGAGCTCTGAGTAAGCTGGCTCCCTTGTTTCGGGCCGGATTTGGTGTGAACATTTCCACCGGGGGGTGTAACAAACTTTTTCGCCCAAGAAGCAGGCTGAGAAGGAGTAGGATAGGCAATCTTAGGCTCAATCCTCTGAACCGTCTGAATTTCGTTCGTTGTAAGACGTCTTGGAGGTCTCCAGAGATCAGCGCGTTGTCCCTGCTTAGTGATATCAGCTGGCCGATGGTCGGGCTGCGCTCGGGTGCGGATAGGTGCCTCAGCCCTTAGGCCCCTTTGAGAGGGTTTCTGAACGATTTGCATTAGTTTACACTCCATACTCAAGGATCATGTCACGTACCTCAGCTATCCCATCATGAGGGGGGTTTAGCTCCTGTACTCTTCCCCGAGAATTGTTGCTGTTCTCACGATCTGATTGATACTCCCTCTTTGGTTGAATATCCACTGTGCCGCGTGAATCCCAGCCTCCATCCCCCATACTATGATACTTATCGGGAGCCCGAGTAAACGCCCCACCCGGGTTGCGAGGGATATCGTAACCCCTAAGAGTATCATTACGGAATGCGGTCCGCCTATCATCACCCCTTGGACCTTGCGAGCCAATTCGATCCCGAGGCGCTGTCGGGGGAGGGTGTCTAATAGATGGAGTTGCATTTTGTGGCGGAATAGAAGGACCCCTTGGGGACTCATGAGAAACATCATAGATTCGGGGAGGGGGTTGCATGTGAAATTGTGAGAGAGGTGTGGAATTAAGTGGGCGCACAACCAGTGCAGTTGAGGGTCCCTGGACTGGCGCTTGAGGATACATGAATTGCTGGGGGGGCATGCTGACTTCAGCTGGATTACCGAATGCTTGCTGAGGAGGATGACTGTCGGCCCTTCCTGTGATGGCGCTCTGTAAGGCTCTGATGACAGCCTCTTTCTCGCCAACCTGCTTCCTAAGATCGTCAACAAGTGTTTCATACTCCTCGATTCTCCTCTGGGCTGCTTCTACAGCCGCCTTGGACCCTTCTTCAACTCTCTGCTTTTCCGCCTTATGCTCGTCCCAAGTCTTACCAAAGATGGTTTGATTTGAGGCTGTCTTGGTGAATTCTAGCTCTTTTATTTCTCTTTCAACAATCATTTGACGATAGCGAGCCTCAGAAAACTCCTCGTCATATTTCCTACGAAGCTCAGCTTCCCTTTTGGCCCAATCCTTTCTGTGCTGTTTCTTGAGTTGCGCTAGCCTGAACTCCCAGTGAGTATTATTATGGTCCCAGGTCGCGGCTGGAACCATGATAAGATCACGGATATTGTTTCCACCCGCCATGCGTTCCATGAGAGTAAGAATGGTGCCGGCAGCAGGGAATTGAGAGGCATCCAATGGAGGTTTGGGAACGAAGTTGGCTGGAAGCTCTGGGGTGGGTGAGCGGGAGTCCCGCGATGGAGGTTCTATCCTTGACTCATGCTGTTGACTCAAGGGAACAATTAAGATGTGACGGCTGTCCTCAGGGGGCATTGGATTAGGAATTTGAGACATCTTGAATATTTTGTTAGTAGATACTATATATTATTGCTACACAAACTTACCTTTGGTAGGATGCGCGGGCGAGAAAAAACTTATTCGATCTCTGGTTGACTCGCTGCAATTCGCCGTGCCAATGAAGAGGCTCAAAAAAAAGGCCAATTATCTGAGGATAGGAATAACCTCAATGGGTGGGAAGATTTTTCCCTCCCGGACAGTGTGCACAGCTAGAAACGTCGGTGGTTGTTTAGCTCTGCCTGTGTTTGGCAAATCTTGAAGTCGGGCTTTGCTCTCTCCTCTACCATTCAGTCAAAGAAGAAAAAAAGAAAAACCTAGGAAAACACAATTCCCAACTTCCGGTGTTCTCCCTTACCAGCACTGAGCGATAAAGCCGGAAGGCGAGATGCAAACAGCGGGAACCGGGAGGGAGTAAAAGGTGAAGTTGATGGTGAGGGTGGAAGGCACTCAGGTGGAGACCGTTCAGGTTAAACGGTGGGAGCAGGGGAACAAGTGAATTTTCCTGTGACGGCGGATCTAGGGGAAATGGAATTTTCAGGGAAGGGCAAAGAGAAAAGGGCAAAAGAGAGAAGGGGAAAGAGGGAGCTCTTGCCTTCTGTTCGAACAACAAGTGCCCTATCCTCGTCATCCTCAGCACGTGACTACAGGAACTACCGTTTAGCGAGTGAGACGTGATGACGGGAACAGAACACGCATCCTGCGCAGCAATGTATCATAGCAAAGCTCGCACAAAAATTCCCAAAAACGCCACACCGGACACAACTAAAGCTTTGTTTAACCTTACAGCTGATCCGGGTGTCTGGGAATGACCAACACAAGACCGTTTACATTTGAATCCTAGCCCCGGAGGTCTTTTAATCGCCCTTCGTTTCGCTCGCTGAACTGCTGTCCAAAAGTTTTTATAATTGAGCCGCTAATAAAGTACTATGATAGATCGAAAAAAGGTTTCACTCGATACCCTTTCGCTCCAAAACATCCATTTTCACCCCCGCTCTGAGGGCACCGGCCCATCAGGATCTACCGGAGTAGAAAATTATGGGGTTTCGAAGAGTTATGGTCCCGAGGAGGAAACTTGAGTTAAATGGAATGTATTGGGCTGTTATGTACCCCCCCATGTAGGGCCCTATACAAAATCTGAAGTCACCTGTTCGTGGAACGGCGGATGCTAGTCGCAATGCTTTTACTTGCTATTTATGCTGCCAGGTGAGCGAGCGCAATGTGATTTTCTAGCAAATTTTCTAGCAAACGAAACCCGGACTATTTCTAACTAGCAAATTCCTAGGGCCGCCTAGAGAGTGACCATTTCCGACAGAACTTGGTGCAAAAACAAGTGCAGAATGAAAAATCCTGAGCTGCTACCATATTGTGATTTACTTTACATATAGCGAAACCTCGTAAGGATTGCTCCACCTCCTTCTAGAAATAGATAGGTCTAGAGTCATTAGACACACTACAATGTCGAATACACCTAAAGGAGCTTTAGAGGTCATCGCAGTCCATCAGACCCTCTTCCAACGCCTTTATTCTGTCAATCGTATAATTATCAGTGAAACGCTACAACCTCCTCTCAGGATCTGGTTTCTTACTGCAAGGCCAAAAGCCTACTGTGGTACCTTGTGAATGAAAGGTCCCCCCCCATAAACCAGGAGCCATCTCGGCTGCATCTCCTCCACATTCCCCTTACCTCCCCTTCTTGGTCGAAGTCCCAAACAGGTTCCAATGATTGAGCTATCTCACCCCCAAGTACCTTCCTTGAGGTTGAGTGCATTTTCTGGCACCCAGTCATGAGGGCTATTTCGCCGGCTTCGAAAACATGCCCATTTGCAAACTCAATACCATTTAGCAAAATACGTTGGATCTCGTGGCCTTGCTTAACTTTAAATTTTCCGGCAGCAACCAAGTTCAAAGCTCCGAGATCGAGGTAGTACCCTAGCGCGATCTCGATTTCCATTCAGAGCAGGAGAGGACGGGCGAATGACCCCACCGGGTTCTAAATACTTGATACAAAATCCTGCTCGATCTGCCCCTTCTTCTAGCTTAAACCCAGTGGCTGCAAGATCACGCAGAGTTGCCTTATCAAGCCTTTGGATATCTTTATGGGAATCTGGGTGTAACTATTTTAGTACCAGGAAAGTGATATCCTGAAACATCAAGTCTGCATCTACTACCGGAGGCTATGCCCCGAGAACATACCAGCTCTGTTTCCATAAAATTTTTGTATAAACTCACCCTACCCTCATTGTAGAAACCCTTCAGAAAACCCTCCATGCCACTTTCCCTAGTCATCACATATGTGAAGCTTCTTTGTATGTACCATCGTGACCTTAGCACCTTGTTTATAATAACATCTTGTACTTAGTTATAGGTCACCTCCCAGTTGTAGGTCACTATCATGAGGGCTTTTAAAGTAAGAAAATTGGCAATCACTACTCTATAACTACTTCAAACAAGTTCATTTTTAGAACAGCTGATGGCTTTGGCTCAGTTTTAATATTTATAAAAATAATAATCCTAGTAAAATATTTTTTTTTCCAGAAAGACCTACAAGTAATATCTCATAATTTGTTTACTATATAGTCAAGAACAAAAACCAAAATTAGGATCCTAGCAGTTTTTATATAAAGAGAAGCTGAGACAGTTGTTACTTAGATTTAGGTAGAGAAATTTGGATCTTTATCCTCCAAATTACAGGCTATAGTTTTGACAACTTGAATACCACAGTACCATGACTGGAAATTATATAATAATTATGAGGTTCTTGCTATTCACCAAGATGCATACATATATGTAGTAGTTCTATTAACTCAAATCTTTAAACATAGTTTGTCTGATATATTCTATTCACTTTTCTACTGAATAGATTGAATATAAATTCTTCAAGTTGCTTCTATCTTACTTTTTCTTTACCAGTCAATCTACTTTCATCCTGTTTATTATTGAAAATATTCTACATATCTTACAAAGATGGAAAGAGTGTATTATCTAATATATCATAATAGAAAACCTTGAATCTTTAGTAATATAATTTACTAGTCAATCAATATATTTATAATCTGATGATCTTTGATAATTTAGATTTTTTCAAAAATTTAATTTTTTTAAAAAAATCCTGAGATCAAAATATTTAGACAACCAACTTTCTGATTTTAGTTAATTTTGTACCAGTATTGAAATTCTACTTTATTACTAGATAAAACTAAGAAAGTCAATATACTTTAATCTATTAGCAAAGCTTAGAATTTAATAAATTCAATAGAAGAGTCATACCACTTCCAGTAAACTCAAAATATTTAATACAAAAACAATTGAGCAACTTTAAACAGTCAGATATAGGATACAAGGCCATCAATTAGTAAGAAATAATATGAATTTTTACTACTTTATACTTTGAAAGCCTCTAAGAAGATATCAAATTTCTAATAAGAGAAAAACAAACTGACTAGCAGAAGGGAAGGTAATTACTGGCAAATAGAAGCAAGAATTTAGATTCAATCTATTCAGTAGAAATATAAACAGAATGTATCAGAAAAGCTATGTCTAAAGATCCAAGTCAATAGTGCTACCAGATATATGTATACATTTTGATAAATAGCAGGAACCTCATATTATATAATTTCCAATATTGTACTGTTGTCAAAACTATAACCTACAATTTAGAGAATAAAGATCCAATCCCTCCTACCTGGAATCTAAGTAACTCCTGTCTCAGCTTCTCCTCATACTCATGCAAAAAAGAACTACTAGAATCCTATTGTTGGTTCTTGTTCTGTACTACATAGTAAATAAATCATAAAATATCACTTGTAGGTCTCTCAAGTAGAAATTATTTTACTAGGATTATTATTTTATTATTTCATAAATATCAAAACTGAGTAAGTGCCATCAGCTGTTCTGAAAATAAACTTGTCTGGAACAGTTGTGGAGTAGTGGTTACCAATTTTCTTACTTTGAAAGCCCTCATAATAATTACCCACAACTAGGGGGGCGACCCATAACTAGGTACAAAACATTAGTCCTATGCAATATCATATGCGCTATTACAGCAGTCAATTAAAACTACCTTTAAGCCCTTTGAATTAGGCTTTAGTCCCAAAAACTGCGAAGAATGGCACGATCTATCGCCTTTGAAATCAGCAGCGCCGGGAAACGCTGGAACACCTGGCTCTCCCACAAGACCCGTTGCCATTGTAATGTGCTTTGGGTGAAGGGTCCTCAAAGCACGATTTCGTGAAACTGTGACGCTCGAATCTCTATCAGAAGATGAATAGGCTGGGGTGCCGGTAAGTTGCTAGACGTCCATATATCGAGATCCATCGCTTTGGCCTAGGCCTCAAACAAGTCTGCGAATTTGTTTTTAGGGGTAAATACCTAGAATCGCTAAGGATTAGAAATCGATGGTTCCGCGAGGGGTGGAAATAATATTACCGGCCAGGTAGGTGGAAATGGTAGATGTGGAAGATGATCACAATAGACCGGATCGTGAATCACGAGTTGGGAATATCGCTTTCTCCAATTGTCTCCAATGTTTTCGTTTTTATCGCTGCTGAAGTGAGCCCTCCCTGGCCTGCCCCTGCATCACAAGCATAAGGTTAGGTATTTTGGTTCCATTCAAAGACACTGATCTTGAGGATCGAACTTATGATTAGGCCTGCTGGTTCCTCTTCAATAAACTCCTATTCAATAGCTCGTGTCCTTCCAGCTCTGACGCTCTTTGCTTGCTCCATGAACACCATTTGGCCTCCGGAAACCCAAAATTTCCTCATGTCCCTCCAGCCTGCGTAGAGAAGTAGGAGGGTTACAGCAACTCCAACGCCCTAACAGGAGATCGAATGTTGCATTTCTTAAGGTGGAGGAGTGGCGCATAACATACAAGGGTCCCAATACCAACGTGGACAGGCCCCTGCAGCAAGAGTGGCAGAATGTTCAAAGTGATGCAAAAATGACCCCCAACATTCTGGCGGGGCGGTACGCGACAAAAGAGGAAACTTGCGTTGTGGGCGAAAGAATTTAATGTGAGGAGGAAGGTGTTCGTGTTTCCCTACCAGGAGCTCAGGCAAGTGACTACGGTAAATAGGAAGGACGCGCAGAAACAGACGAACGCCCTCACACCCAGGTAGCGCGCAAACAGCAGCGCAACCGCACACATCCCTGTGCCCACGTTCAACCGAACACATGTGCCTGCATATCACTTCGCATACCCCCGCACAACAATCTACCCCTCCACAGAAGCACCAGATGTGCCCTAATCTCCTGTCTCCAGCACTTCGTGATACTCCAAGCGAACATAATATATGTGTTGCATTACTAGGTCTTTTTTTTTTATTTCGGAGGTAGCCTCTACAGAAAATTGAATGAGTATCGCTGATACTACGTAGAGGTCTAAAGTCGAGACTCACTATTCTGTAGTGAAACTTCGCACACCAAGAGCCATTATCATTTTGAATAAGTAATGAAACATCAACGGTTCCATGGCTCAGTTGGTTAGCGCGTGGTGCTAATATCAGAAGATGTTAACGCCAAGGTCGAGGGTTCGACCCCCTCTGGAACCATTATTTTTGCTTGTCCTTATGAGGACAAAAAGTTTGCATGACAAAATCACTCAAAGCAAGCCGTCTTTCTTATCCAGGAGCACACTACCGGTAGTAGAGATTTGGAGACGAAAAGTCTTAATAGTCAGTATCGTACCCAGACCCTCTCCCTCCAGCAATTCAAGGCGGGCGGAGAAAAAAAAACCAACTCTCCTAAATCCGGGCAAGCCATTGCGGCCCCGGAAAATTTGCGCGGGAAATATCTCTCCCATTTGTTTCCGGGGACCTTACTCTTCCGCTTCCTTGGCCTCGGTCTCCAACGACCCGAAAACCCTTTTGACAGAAAATTTTCAAGTATGTCCTTAGGGCCAAGAAATTAGGGCAAGAATAGCTGTATTAACCGTGATTATATAAGGACTTTTCCTGTCATTTATAACTAGGACATTGTACCCCATGTCCATATCAGGTCTACTCCAGGTCGTGATTTTTTTTAAAAAATGTGAAATCACAATCTGGAAATCACGATTTCAAATCAGGACTACCTGAAATGAGCGTGGTTTTGTTGAAACCTACACATGGGCTTTGTTGGTTGTTACCAGGAAAACAGGTTTGAAGGGTGGCAACCAGAGAAAATCAATCTTGAGATAAACATATTTTTCTTTTTCTCTACAGTAGAATAACTTCTCTTCTGTAATAAAAAAGTTTAAAAATAAAGTAATTCTATTAAAATTTTATTTACTATGTAAAGTATATATCTGTGCTTTAAAATATACAAAAATATATTATTCATGTAGTTTTCCTACCATGTTTATTCTTGGATCCTAGAGGCCTTCCATGTTTTTTTGTTTTTGGCAATCCCTCCTTAAGCGGTAGAGCTTTGCTTAGCTGCTTAACCATCTGGCCCACTTGTAACTGTTCCTCCAAACTTGTAGCATGAATAATTTTCAT